CTCCGTCGTGTCCAAAGCCTTTACCGTAGACTGCAGAAGCTCGAGGCGGACCCAACGTTGTCACCCGACTGGCAGCAATTGACCACCGAATGGCAGGTCATAGGTGTAGCTACGTTTGCGGGACGAAGTTACAAGGACTGGTTGGCTACTTGGCCGGAGTTACCCAGCCAAGAGATGTTCTTTCCGACTCTCAATTACCTCGACCTTGCTTGCCAGCTGACCAAGCATTATGTCCAACATTTGGAATCCCAAGAAAGATCCAGGATTCAGGCTACGAAGAGATATGAGCGTCTCTATGATCAACGATGGGCAAGCAATTCTGGGGCCTTCCGCAAGATACGTCCACACAACCATCCATGCCTGACGATGCTGAAGATCACTCGCCAGTATGAAGTCACTTCCACTCATGGAGAGGGAACAGGTCTGATTACCTGCACTGTCCCCCATTTTCAGCACATCCATCCGCTGGCGGACTACTTCATAGGGAATGTACGCCTTCAACTCTGTGCCCAGCACAATGATGTGCTCGATTTTCTCCAAGAAGATGCAGATGTGACATTACCTGCTGGTCACCTCAGACACTCAGGAGGTTGCAGAGGAGCTGAATCGATATTGGTCCCAATTCTGGACACGAGATGACTCTACGACAGATTGGACTGAGTTTTCTGCTCTACTGCACCAGACACCACAAGTTCCAACCATGGATTCGGTCCTTACGTTGGAAGAATGGACACAAGCCGTCAGACATTTGAAGCTCAAAACTGCCAGAGGCATCTGTGGACGGTATGCCCAGGAGCTACGCGATCTCCCAGATTTAGCCTTGGAGGACTTGTACCACCTGTTCACGGCAACATTGCCTTCCATGCCATCTCATTTGATGCGTGCGCGGACGATTCCACTTGGAAAAACCTCGCACCCAGATAGTGCATCTTTGACGCGACCCATTACAATCCTGTCATTGTTATATAGATTGTGGGGCAGAGCAACTACTGTGAAGATCCTTCGACACTGGACGAAGCATTTTCCGTCCTCCGTGGTAGGATTTCTGCCGGCTCGCTCCCTGACGAATGCAATGATTGGCTTTCAATGGAAACTGGAACAGGCACATCTTGGGGACGATGTCTCATACGGAGGCCTCACCCTGGACCTCATCAAGGCTTTCAATCTCATTGGGAGAGAACCTGCTGCTGAAGCCACGCTACACTATGGTCTTCCTCCTGACTGGGTCCAATTTTGGTTCGCCTCCATTTCCTCCATGGATCGGGTGTGGGAAATTAATGGCAGCCGAAGGGGATACATGGTCCGTGGTAGCCATGCTGGCACTCTCCAACGTTTGGGTCCACCTGTTACAGGCCCAACCAACACCGGTGGCCCCTCTTTGCTAACAACCTTGGGTGGTCAGTTCAAGATGCCGCTGCTCATCAGGATGCTCTTGTCACCACCCTTGCATGGTCACAAGCCTTGCAACTTCAAGTGGATTGGAAGAAAACCTGGGTTTGGGCAACAGATGGCATACACTCTGACGCTTGGCATGTCTTGCGCAAAGCTTTTCCTGAACTACAAGATGTCCTCAAGGTCACTAATGCTCGTGAGCTTGGCTACATGATCGCGTACAACAAGTGTCAAAATAAGAAGACTTTCTTTTCTCGACATGCAGTGGCTTTGGAGCAATGCCGTCGAATTTCACGACTCCCGCATGCACTCTCGGTTAAAGGGAACCTGCTCCGTGCCCCACTATCACGACTGCTATATGGTACGGAGATCCATATGGTTTCCTTGGAGCATCTTCGACAGTTGCGTACTGCGATGGCCAGAGCGTTGCTAGGTCCGAAGACACAATCCAATCCATACATGGCCACTGCGGTGCTTCATAAAGGAATACTGGACCCACATTTCCAGCTTCTTTATCATGCTTTGCGCGCCATCCGTCGGTTTTTGTGGCTTCTCTTGGTCGAGGACAGACTCCGTTTCTTTCGACACGTGGTCCGTCACTCCGGCCAACCATGGAAGATCTATGGGCCGGCCGGTACCATTCGATATCATCTAGATTTCTTGGGCTGGACCTTGACCAAGGACGGAATCATTCTGACTGATGCTTTTGGTAAATTGTCCCTCCTGGAAAGTCCTCTGGACCACATGCGCCAAGAGCTTATCTTTGCATGGGAACGTCATCTCCAACTCCAACTTGGCTCCCGTAAAGATTGGACAGGGTTGCCCCAGCTGGATATTCCTACTACTGCTTCGCTTTTCACACAGTTGCCAGCAGATCGACAGGGGATTCTGGCAGGGGAACTGACCGGTTCCTATCAGTTGCAACAGCGCAAAACTAAATGGGTAGAGGGATTGGATGAAAATTGTCCACTTTGTGGAGGTGAAGACACAGTTGTGCATCGCAGGTTACACTGCCCAGCACTTCAGAAAGCGAGAATACCACATCAAGATGTAGTACAGCAACTCCTTGAACAGGACATGGTGCTCACCAATCTGCCAGTCGTCTTTCGACACCCAGAGCACGTCTTCGACTTTTGGTGGAGCTACAAAATCCCACCGGCCACCATCACACAGCAAGCTCGCCAAACCATACAACTTGATCAACAACAAGGACTGTGTCCCTTGGTTTTCACAGATGGCTCTGCAGCTCCACCGGCTTGTCCTGAGGCCCGCAGAGCAGCCAGCGCTGCTGTCGTGTTGTCACGGAGACATGTTTCTTCAGAGGAACAGATCCATCGCCTGCTGCAATATTTTTCCATCATGAAGATATTCCGGCTGAATTTGAAACCATGCTACTGACTCCTACACATGGAGCACAAACCATTCCTCGCTCGGAGCTGTCTGTCGTGGTACAAGTTATTCAGTGCTCTAAGCAGGTGGAAATTGTCACTGACTCACAATATGTTATGGATATGCACCAAAGGTTGTTGACACAACCGGATGTTGCGGGACTCCAGGCTCTCCCGAACTTTGATCTGTTGTCTCGACTTCATACTCTACAACGTCAACCTGGGTATAATGTCACCCTTACAAAGGTGTCGTCACATAAACTGGCACCAGGTCCGCCAACCTGGCTTCGACTCCTCCAACTGGGCAATGAAGCAGCTGATCATGCAGCCAAGATGGCTAGAAGGCAATTGGTGGACACATGCATGCAGGTACCACTTTCACATCATATTGAAGAACGGCAACGAGTCACGGCTCAGTTCTCTCTTTGCTATGACCTTGGATGTCTTCGTAAGAACCTTTTGCAATCGACGGCTGAGCCGACCACTGCCACTCGGCCTTTAGACCCTGACCAGGTGCTAGATGACTCTGAGTTGCATGAGTTTCCCACTCGCCTCTGGCAGACGACGCTTTTGCGCTACAGTTTATGGGGAGAGGGATTTAGCGCTGGTATCATCTACTGGGCAACCCATCTTCAGTGGCCACGCGACAGCTTCCACACGGATAAACCGGACACTGTCACTGCTGGCGTCACCTGGATGGAGTTGCTCCTCGACTGTCAGTATACGCTTCAACTGCAGTGGCCTCACAGCATGGTGTGCTCAAAGCAGCCCCCTGTGCTTCGTCACCCAGGTCTTCATGGAGTAAACCAAGTCGATATCCCCTTCACCTGGAACCTCAGCAACTTTAGACGTGCACTTCGGCACCTTGAGGAGTTGCTACAAATTCAGTTGTTGCCAAAAGCTCGCGGCACGGTGAACTCGCTTTACAGGCTTGGTGCTCGGGGCCACAAAAAGGGCATACCATGGCGCCCACAGCTATGCAATCCCGCTGAAGTCGAAAAATCTCTCAGAGAATATTTTCGCCAGCATCCAAGCTGCACTCAGTTCCGTCATCAGCCTGATATGGTTCAGCTGCCTGCAAAATTCCAGGTTCATTGGCAACCTGATGAAAGGTCCTTTGATTCCAACATTGGAAAACTTAGGTTGGCTCGTTTCACCTCATGGAAACAGCGAGGCCGACCGCGCCCGCTGACTTTTGCACCTCCAACGTGAGGTTGCTATGCTCGCAGACAACGGACCTTCCTTGCCCTGTCAGCGGGGGGGGGGGAGGACTCACAATCAGTGCGCCGGCCACCAAAACCTTTACTGGTTCTGGGACCCTCTCAGGACTCAGGACTCTTTCTCAAAGAAAGGAGGACGACGGGCAAAGATCCCCACCCTTGCCCTCTTCAGTGATGTAGGGTTTCCCTTCTCGAACAACTCCGTGATCGCTAGCAATGTGCCAGTGCCCAAGAGGCGCTGGACTTTGCGGTTGTGGGCTAAAATGCCTTGAGCCAAGATATGACCTCTTTGCAGAGATGAAGACCTCTATACGGGTCTTTGCAAGATCTCACACCAAGATCGATTGTTGTCAAGATTTTGGTAGGACATCCATAATCCTCCACAAGGTCGCGCCACAAGAATTTTGGACCCAAAAGCCAGCATTGACAAAAGCACTGCATAGCCCAGCATCGTCTCAGTGACACAGAGTTGTAAATATATAGATGTAAAAAGGAAAATCCCATAAATGTCCTTCGCAATGTCAAAGCGCCCGGCACGCAACCTTCACAGGAAGTAGTACAGTAGCAAATTACTTGGCAAGCGGCTGCCACACGTGCTTGGGTGTTGTGGAACAAGAGGCTGTCGCTTCCCTACTGCTCCTACTTCGCGGGTTTTGCAGGATTCTGTCACGAAATGGATCGAAATGGACGTATATGTAAAGGATTGTAAAGGCCTCGTTGTTGGTTTTGGATCGACCTTGACCATCAATTCTTGCCAGCTTGTTTTGTTTGCCCTTACGGGACAGCAAAACGGAAGAAAAGAAGGTCAATTTGCAAAAGGTGAAGTTGCGTAAGGGCCTAAGGGCTGAGTTTTCAATATATACAATTCTAGCGTTGTGCTTTATTGGTCTTATGATACAACATTTGTTCGTTCCCTAATTGCAGAGTGTCCTTTGCGTATCTTTGCGTACTAATATGTGGCTGTGCAAGTGTTGGGCCGCACGCATTTTGATTGTTTCAGGTGGTGCCAAAGGCAACTCCTTCGAGTTTTGCGGCGGCTGGTACGATTGCCCAAGGCCCCAACCACAACCGCAAATCCAATGTGTCACAATGTTTCATACCTGTTTGCAAGTTTATTTATTCCTTGCTAGCCGCGGAATTCTCTCGATAGGTTCTGTAGAATGTTTTGCCGTGCTTTCTCATTCGCAGTGAGTCCTTTCAACAGCATTCTTTGTCGTTTGCCATTGTTGGTTTCTGCCTTTTTGTTTCCAGTGGACACCATCTGACACCAGCTACGTCCAGTATGCGCATGATTTCCTTGCCCTTAGGCTGAGGTCCTCTCCACCCACAACTTGTTTCGACAAGTGCCAGCGATAGATTGTTAGGGGTCTCATTCAAGTTAAAATCTTCCAACCCATCCAATGCACACGAGTTTTTCGTGAAAGGTGGCATAGCCAGGATTGTTTACACACAGGCAATCACAGGCATATATCATATATCAGTCAAAGGAAGTGCACGTTCCACACGAGGTGGCGCGTTGACCAACAGACAGAGACAAATTCCAAAAATACGGCCGCTGCACAAGAAGAAGTGAAGCCGAACTAGAGCGAAACTGCCAAAGACAAATACAATTTGAACACAAAGACAATGAACGCTCTAGGCAGCACATGCCTTTGGAAGACAAGTGAATGACTTTCCGAAGATGCACCTTGGTGCCATCAGTGCCCCATCAAACCCATGTGGCAACCCACAAGGGATGTGTTGCTTCATACTCACACTAACGTGGTGCCTTTGTGGGCCTCGAGCACACGATGTCATGGTGACTCTGGCCGGAAGAAAGCCGTTGCACTGTCTTGACCTAGTTTGGCACAAAAGTATTTCCGCAGCTAGTTGAAACAAAAAAGATTTGGGGTACCAGATTTTCTCTTCGCTGTTGATGGTTTGACATCCGACAGGCAGGACCCTTCAAGGAGCCGTTGCCATGGAAGGAGCTTGGCCTGGAGGACTATCCTGAGGCATGGTTAGCGGTGGCTAGCAGTGGTTTGCAGTATGTTCTTTCTACAATCACAGACCAGCCAAAACTACAAGATACAGTACTAAAAGGCAATTTCGTGACCTTGCATACTCGCACCTGGCCATGCCTTGCAAAGCTGTGAGCAATATTGAGCAATCAAATACAGTGTATTTATATATATATTATTTAATTCTATATATATATATGTATTATATTCAGGTGGTTGTTAGGGGCACCATTGCCTGCAATGGCTTCCTACGTTCTGTTTTTCAGTACTTTTTAAGGCTTGTTTCTGTTGATGGAGTGGTGCATTCGCACAAAACGATAAGTGTACCCAAGTTTTTGAGAGCATGATCACATATGAACTTGGTGGCATAAGCTACCTTTCGCAGGAAAAGCACCTGCAAGGGTTGGGTGGGCGCGTGCGTGGGCGCGTCGATCGAGCCGTAGTTCATCAGGTTATGAGCCCAAGGCACGCTTGAAGTGTCTTGGGATAGAGCCATGAGCTCTGTGACCCAGCACCGCAGGCGAAAAGTGACCGCTGAAGAGCTGGAGCAAGGGCGCACAGAGATGCTGGCTGCACAAGCCAGGTTGGAAAGGGAAAGAGAAGAAGCTGAAGAGCTTCCCATCGAAGATGTCAAAGAGGGAAGTGATAGAAGGAAAAAAGAGAAAGAAAAGGAAAAGGACAAGGGCTCTCGTCCCGCCATCTCGCAGGGCACTCCTTCGACTTCGGCACCGGCTCCAACCACTGAGGACAGCCAGACTCGTGCATCGATCTCAGCTTCGACCAGGACACCGAATCCTGTCGCAGGCGCTCCGCTACCAGAACAAACACCGTCTCCAAGACAAGCAATCAAGGAGACGCATGCAGCTGGACCCTTGGTGAAGTCCGGCATGAGAGAAGGGAAGGGTGGAAAGGGAAGAGTTGAAAGAAGGGTTGAAGAAAGGGATGAAGAAGGTCCATCCCAAGGGCCCCAAGTCGTTTCCATGGCTACACCTCCTGAGCTTCAGAAGCCATTGTTTGATTAAGAGAAAAGCTGGAGGAGGGAAGAAAGAAAAGAAGAAGAAGAAGCAATGGAAGTGAAGAGCTTTGAAGAACGCCTTCGCTATGAAAGAATTGAAAAAGAAGAAATGAACCGATGTCTTCAACAGTTGATGAAGGAAAATCAACAGCTGCGAGATCAAACAGTACAAGTTCTCGCAGTCAACAAGAAGAAAGAAGAGCGAGAAGAACTCAATGCTCGTCGCCCGCAGACTGTTGACGTCATCCTCAAACTCCTCCAAGGAACGCAAGACTTCCAAAAGAAGATGGTGAAGTCGTCACATCGAGATGATCCTGGAGGTGAGGGGGAGGCAACACCTGAAGTGGTTCAAAGGGGTGTGGAATTGCCGAAGCTTCCAGAATGGCCACCTGAAACCGGACCCATCGACTTCTCCGATTGGTTGCTGGTGATATGCCCTGTGATGGGTGGCCTCAGTACAAGTTCAGAAGCTGCAGGGGCTTGGTATCAATCCCACATGAACAAGACCCCGCTGGGCCGGCTACAACACCATCCAAGTCTTCCACCATCCCTTAGTCAAAAGAAGTGGGCAAGACTGGAAAGGCGAGCATCCTCATTGCTTTTGGCACCCATCCCAGACAGCTTGAGAGAACAGGTCACGATCCTTATCAAGGGCATGTCACAATACCAACCAGGTGGGCTTGCAGAAAAGTCTGCCCCTGACCGCCCTAGAAAGTCCACAAGAAGCTCAGTCCATCGCCAGTGGTGTCGGCACTTTGAGGAGCATGGTTGAGATGGAAACGACGGGCGGAGGAATTGGGGGTGTCGATACCTGATGCCACAATCTTGGTCCGTGGACTTGGAAAACTCATGAGGAAATTGAGTGCAACCTATGCCGACCTCAACTTCCGGCTGCAGCTTACAAGGAACCAGCTGATGGTCGACGCGGTACCGACCCAAGAATCAGTCACCAAGTACTCCCATCACCTCTTGGCTGAGCTTGAGACCATGGGTCACCAAGCAAAGAAAAAGGATCCGATCGTTGAGCCACCAAAGATCAAGAAGTTTGAAGAACAGTCAAAAGACCCGAGGCAAAAGGAAGCAAAAGAAGGAGATTCCAAGGAGAAGGCCAAATGTCGGTTCTACCTCTTCGGACTCAGGTTGCAGGAGGGGAAAGAATTGTGGCTTCCACGAACAGAAGGACGAAAAGAAAAGGTGCTGGAATTGTGGAGGCACGGATCACATGTCCCCAGGATGCACAAGACCCTAAGAAAACAGGAGGAAAAGCGAAGGTCGTCAAGGCCGACAAGGAGAAGGGTCACAAAGAAGAAGTAAAGCCTGAAGAAGAAAACAAAGAAGCAGCAACCCCCACCGTCAAGGACCTGTTAGAAGAGGCAAGCAAGATGTTGAAGACCTTGAACAGCTCACCGTCTTCGTCTTCGGCCTCACCCACAAGTTCAGGGGGAGATGAAAGACAAGAAGTTGTCGAAAGATCGCAACAGCAGCTCAAGGCGTTCAGGCTGATGAGGCTGCAAAAAGGAGAAAAAGCGGGCTTGTTAGACAGTGGAGCAACACACCCGCTGCGACCTTCAAAAAGGGGAGAAAACAAAGACTCCTATGAAAGGGTGCAAGTGGCCTACTTAGCTGATGGTCAGACCACTTGGCTACCGATCTCGCCAGGCGGCGCCATGATTGCTGAAGGTCCCGACATTGAGCCGATCATCCCAATGAAACTCCTCACAAAGGATCTTGGCTGTTCCATTGCATGGTCAAAAGGCCACTTGGAAGTCACACGACATCCCAAACTGGGAGTTCTCCCGGTGGAAGATCATGAAGGGTGTCTTCAAGTACCAAAGAAATTGGCCATACAGTTGATCGAAGAGCTCGAACAAGTCAAAAGGGGGATGAAGTTTCAGGAGGTCGATGACTTCAAGGAAGAACTGAAAGATTTGGTTCAGACCCATCCTCTGTGCTGTCAGGTCTCCCTGAAGAAATCAAAAGTGAACTGGTTGCCAATCCAGGCCCATGGAACAGGCTCCCTGCAAATCGAAGGAAAAGAAAAGCGATGAAAAGAGATGGCTTTGTCGCGCACCTTTACTCAGGCCCAGAAAAAGGCTTCACCCTGGCTCGCGCATGGCAGCAAGCTGGAGGAAAAGACTCCGACCTGCTTGAAATTGACCTTCAACGAGGTCCAGCTCCGACATGTTCAAAAGCGACGGAGCCTATGCTGCATTGCTCACTGCAGTCCTGGAAGGCCAAGTCCGTGGGCAGGACAAGATCAGTCCTTCGACAGTATCCAGGCCCTGGACCTGAAGCTCCAAGGCCGATTCGAAGGTGGGATGGTGAAGAGTTCGGGATTCAAGAAGCGACCCCTGAAGAAAAGAACAAATTGAAGGAAGATGATGTGTTGTTGTGGAGGAGGGTGTTTTTGGGAATGGTCGCAACCTATCTCCGGGCAGCGCGTCAAGAAATTCACCAAGGTGGTCACCTGTCCCGCTACTTCCTTGCCGGTGCCTTCACTTAGGCTGTCCCCAAAGGTGTCAAAGAAAATCCGGAGCGAAGAAGAAGAAGATGAAGAAGAATATCCAATGATTGAAGCAGAACGGGAGGAAGACCCTCAAGATCTGGAAGAAAAGGATGAAGTTCCACAAGGAGAAACGTTTACCGATGTAGAAGAAAGGGAAGGAAGAGACCTCATGGACCTTGAAGATGATTTGGGTTCAGGGGGAGCTGATCCTGTCAAAGAATCAGCGCCAACAGCACCACCAGATGATGAAGTTTGCACATTCCCCCTGGCACACCCAATGTTGTCACAAAGGCCGCGAGGAAATGGTGCTCCGGCTTCGCATGGATGGCTATACAGTCAACCACATTCATGCTGATCAAGGCCATGAATTTGCAGGCCACTTCACAAGCTGGCGCAGGAAAAGAGGCATCATCCTCACGAAGACTGCAGGCGATGAATCTCAATCGAACGGTCGAGCTGAGTCGACTGTCAAACGGGTCAAAACCATGATCCGGGAGGCATTGCACCACGGTCAAAAGAATTCCAAATGGTGGCCCTGGGCAGCAAGGTATATCAATGAAGCAGGATCTACGAAACTCCAGCATTCCCCACGTTCATGGAGGAGGCGCTAGTGATATTGACTGGGACTAACAATGGAGACCGTGCACTACTTGGGCCCATCATCCGAAAACCATGGTCATTGGATTTGGAAGGAGGGGAAACACCAAGATTGACCAGGTGCATCGTGAAGAAAGTTGACGAAAACCCTCCGAGGCTCATTGGATTGGAAAGGGAGCTCTCGGACGGGCTCTCTTCGACGCCGTCTACGAGAAAAGACAACGATCAAGAAGATTCAAGGCCTGTTCAAAGATCAAGAAGAAAGAAAAGAAAAGGTCCAAAGGATGAAACGGTTTTTAGAAGAAGAAATGATGAAGATCCCAGAGGAAGATCCCCAGGTGGCGGTATGCTCCATCCTGGTGGTGGGAAAACTTCGACAGATGCTTGAAGAAGGACTTCAAGACGAGGAAGAGGAAATTCTTCAAACGAACATCATCTCGCCAAAAGAGGTGGCGGGAGAGTGGAAAAATGGAGGCCATCAGCCGAAAACGAAGTCCATTCGCTCCTGACAGAGAAACAAGCCCTCACCCCTTTGCCTGCTGACAAGGTTCGGGCATTCATGGAAGAGGCCAAAAAGAAGGGACTCCGTGTTGAGCTGATCCCTTCAAAACTCGTGTTCGCCAAGAAGCCCGGAAAGTATGGTGGAAAAAGGGAAGTTCGCTGGGTCGTTTGTGGAAACTTCGAGACTCGTCAGCCTGATGAAACCAACTGCTCAGGAGGCGCAGATGCCTCAGCGTTCAGGATCATGATCCTCCTGGCCTCACGCTTTCAGTGGGAGGGAACCAGTTTGGACGCGAAAACAGCATTTTGAAGCTGAACTTTGAGGAGGATGATCATTTCATCTTGGTACTCCCACCTGCCTTCTTTGTTGAGCGAGGCTTCATGGAGAAAAACACTTACTACCAGCCACAAAAGGCGGTCTACGGCCTTCGAAGGTCTCCTCGCCTTTGGGGGGGAACACCGTGATGAGGCCATGAAGAATTTCATCATTGAAGTCAAAGAGGAAGGGAAAGACATCGAAAAGTTCCAACTGAAGCCACTGGAATCAGAACCAAACCTCTGGAAGGTCGTAAAAATGAATGATGAAAGTGAAAAGACAAGAGGCGTGTCGACGACCTCTTCATTACAGCGGAAAAGAAGTTGACCGATGCCATCCAGGCACATAGACCTGGACTACATCGAGCCCTCAAAGGATCACCAATGCACCGGTCAAGTTCCTTGGCATGGAAGACTCAAAAGAGCTCGATCCAACCTCCGGTCGCTTCAACTGGATGATCTCTCAGGCCACGTATGTTGAAGACCTGTTGAGCCGTGAGGCCGAGAAGTTGAAGACCCGAAAGATAGACCAGGCCAGCATGGAGCAGATCGAGTCAACGCCTTCACAGGCGGACATCAGAACTGCCCAAAGAGTCGTCGGCGAATTGCTGTGGTTGGTGACTCGCACGAGGCCGGACGTGATGTACTCCGTCTCAAGGCTCGGCTCCAACATCCTCAAGAATCCACAGGCTGTTGCTGAAGTCGGATCCCAAGCGAAGGGGTTCTTGCGGTCCACAAAAGACCTTGGCCTCAAATACAAGGTCGGTGAGGATCAAGAGATGGTGCTCAGCGTCTACACAGACGCCTCATATGCACCAAGCGCTGAAGAATCCCATGGCTGCTGTTTGGTGATGGTTGGCCAGAATCCCATCTTCTGGCGATGTGGCCGCCAAAGCACTGTCCACAGCGGAAGCAGAACTCAATGAGCTGATCGAGCGCATGGTTGCATAGGCGAGTCCATCGGGGTGATCTTCGATGAGATCGTCGGACGACAGACGGCAGAAGCTGGAGAACCAGACACCTTCGTCTCCGAGCGGCCTTCGCAAGACAGGCCATTCAACAAGGCCTGTGGGGAGTTGGACACACCCCCGGTGAAGAAATGGTCGCAGACATGGGCGCAAAAGCCCTCGCATCACCCAGGTTGGAAAGTCTCAAGAGTCTCAAACAGAAGATCGACATGTGTCGGGCGGGTAAGGTTGAAAAAGATGAAGAACACACAAGAAAATGAAAGAAAAGAGAAAGAAGTGAAGGAAGAAACCCGAAAGAAAGAAGAAGAAGAAGTGATCAATGGCATTGATGTCGAAAGAACTGCCACGATCCTGAAGCTCCTGGTGATGGCAACATCCATTACGGCATCAAGTTCTCAAGATGAAGAAGAAGCTCAAGGCATGCCGCTGGAAATGATGATGATGATGTACACAGCCTTCATTGTGGTGCTCACCACAATTTTTTGGTGGATTCTGAAGGAGGGAGTAAGGCCAAGGTGGTTGAGCTCACCAAGTCCCCACCACGAGTTGAAGGAAGGCTGAGAAGTATGAAGGTGAAAAGTGGAGAAAGAGGCCGTGAAGAGGAATCAGAAGAAGGAACACCTGAAGTTCAAATGGCGAGGGATCTGCCTTCACCAATGCAGTTGACCCCTTCAGCCAACTGTTCCACCACTTCCAGGAATGGGACCAGTCGTGGTTATGGGAAGGCCGTTCGAATGGTCTGAAGGCTGGATCCGACCACCGAATTGGGACCAGCTTCAAGAGCTCCTGCAAGGAAGGCGAAAAGCCAATCAAGAATTCGATAGGGAAGAATACATCCAAAGAGAAATCGACAGGGCTGCAGCATCAAGCTCAAACCAGCTCAGAAGGTCAACAGAAGCCACAAGACCACAGAACAAAGCACTGAACTAACCAAGCACTGGACTAACAACCCAAGATCCTCACCGCAAAGTATGGCAGAGCTTTTCACTGCCGTGAAACGTGTGATTATTTGCGGGCATCTCGCACTGGAGCTGTTCGCAGATCGGCGTGGTGTCCTGAATGCTCCCAAAAGGTGGGAAGGACATCAACGAGGACGATCTGGACGAATTCTTGGGGCTCCATGGCCCACAATGATCGAAGCTGTGGCCGATTGAGGCTGGAAGTCTGCCGCTACACTCCCTGCACTCGTTGTGCAGAGAGTGGAAGAAAGAGAAAGAGATGAAAACCCAAAAAACGGAATCAAGAGTAGAAGGGCAGTGTTGAGCCAGAGGCTCCAAAATTTGAAAGTGATGTCATCTTCCCCTCACGGAGAGATGAAGGGGAGTGTTGATGGAGTGGTGAGTTCAACGAGAAGTGTACCACAGTTTTTGAGAGCATGAGCACATATGAACTTGGTGGCATAAGCTGCCTTTCGAACTCGAGCGCAGGAAAAGCACCTGCAAGGGTTGGTTGGGCGCGTGCGTGGGCGCGTCGATCGAGCCATAGTTCATCAGTTTCAAGTCAGTCTTTTTCGGTGGAACCTTGTGGACGTAAGTGCCTTGACTCGGTTGGACTCTGGTTTAGTTTGTCTTGCCAAGATGGCTCTATGCTTCTTCCACAGTGAGGGTGAGAGTGAGTGAGAGTGATTGTGACTGAGAGTGGGTGTGAGTGAGGGTGAGAGTGAGAGTGAGTGAGATTGAGAGAGTGAGAGTGAGAGTGAGGGTGAGAGTGAGTGTGAGTGCGAGCGTGAGTGAGGGTGAGAGTGAGAGTGAGAACGAGAGTGAGAGAGTGAGCGTGAGAGTGTGAGAGTGGAAGTGAGTGTAAGAGTGAGAGTGAAAGTGAGTGAGTGTGAATGAGTGTGAGAGTGAGCGCCCTCCTTATTTATTTACAGCACCACAATATCGTGGCACATGTCTAGTGGACCTGGGGCAGATGGTCGAAGCTTCACATGTACAATCGGTTTGGAAGCAGCATACTCAAGCTGTCCTGGTGAACTGATTGTTCAGGAACAACCGTGATATCCCCAACAGCCCAATTGGATAGGTTGCAGCGGCCGACTGACTAGGACAACCAACCAAAGATTTTCACGAACGTGCGATCGCCACAGTGGCATTCACGGTCCCCAACTTGCGGTCTTGATGACGGCTATCAGAAAAGATCAGAAAAGACTTTCCGAAAAGGTGCAGAGGAAGGAGGGAAGCAAATTCGATCGATGCCGGTGATCAATTGGGTAGCTTGTCCTGTCAAGACTAGGATCGCAAGTACCGACAAATCAGCTGCCATGCCCTGGAGGTCGTTTCAGATCCGATCGATTTGAGGAGACGAGATGACGCTGGAGCTGCATTTTTTTTGAGCATCATATAACACAAAAACATCTAAAACCTTCAGAAGATTCTAGCACCAATAGAACGAGCATGAACAAGCTTTGGTGGTTGTGACTGAGTACTAGGTTCTAGATTCTGCTTATCCGAGTTATCCAAGATATTGCACATGTCTATAGAGGACGTCCAAAAGGTGCGAAAACACTCATGGTGCTTCGGGCGCCCTTTGCTTCGTTGAACGAACTGGAGCAGAGTCAAGTTACTCAGTAAAACTGAAGCAGGACCATTGCAGAACGGCTGCAAGATGGAAGTTATAAGGAGACATTGCTTGCATTTGGTTTCGATTGATTCTCCAAAAGTGGGAACCAATGACATTGAACGATTGTGACTTTGAGGTGCCTCCAAACATGGAAGCTGGACATAGATTACTCGGGGTCTGACGACAATTCCGGCAGGATGAGGAGGGCTTTGTCAACCCGGACTTCTTCTGGCAGGAGAATTGGAATCAGGTCAATCGCGATGCGCTCGACGTTTTTGACAGCAGCTTCTTCTGGAAGGGCAAAAGGATGAAGCTAGGGCTTGTGTCATGTTGCTTTACAATCTGCTAGACAGTGGACAGGACATCACCCTATGCTGGGACAATTGCAAGATGTACTATGAGGATGAAGCTCAGCGAGTTTTTTTGGACTTGCAACCACCACATCATATTCATCTCTCGCAAGTACTCTTTAAAGTTCCGGTCCCCACGGAACATGTAAAGTACCAAAACTGCCAAGGCGTGGAAAACGATGCACTGCTTGGTCGTTCATTTCTTGATTTAGTTATGGTCAGTTTGATGTGATCGGGAGGTGTCACCGCATCGGGAGAGATTTGGAAGAGTAGTTCGTTGGAATAGAATCTGATAACCGGTAGTTGCGACATGGATCAAGGCTAAATCTATTTAATGGGCGACAAAAATATGTACTTTCCCGGCAAGAGATCCCAAACAGATTTAAGTTTTAGGTATATAGCAGAAGAACAAGGAGAGCGGGGGTGAATGAGCCACGCACACATGAGGGCACACATATGAGAACAATCAAATGAGGGCGCGCGCGCACACGCACACATGAGAGCACAGATATGAGAGAGCGTGCGCGTGAGAGCACATATGTGGGGTTGCATTTTGAAACATGTCCACCTTATGTAGAGTTGGGATGTTCAACTTAGGCGAACTTCTGAAGCATACCCCAATAGTCAAACATCCTGGCCCGGGAACGGTAACAAAACATACATTCCCATATGAGAACACACATATGAAAGCACAGACTTTGCACACATATGCGAGTGCAGACATGAGGGAGCACGCAAGTGTGAGCAGACAAACAAGAGAGCACACATATGGGAGCACATGCATGAGAGCACACAAATGAGAGTGCAGAATTTGTGGGCGGCGCAGCATTTTGTAAGCCTCAAAGCGCAGACTTCGTGGCAGGCGCAGCACTTGGTGAACCTGGATGTGCAGATTTCGTGGCAGGCATACATGTTTGATTGTGTGCTACCAGCAGTTTGCGCAAGCCTGCGCAGTCGAAATGCACTTAGGAGATCTCGAGGGGCATGAACGCACCGCAATTAGCACCAGGCCCCCCTCAATCACCCCAGCCTTAACCACTAGTGTAGGAACCCCAACCACACAGGCTCGGGAACCAAGAAGCAAAATCGTTCAAGCACAAACTCAAAGTAGAACACAATGAGCGCCAAAAGACTCAACTTACAAGAGCAAAGCGAAAGGAAATCTTGTAATGGAACGCTGGACTTGTATCGACGTGCGTTTTGCATTTTTATAAGGTCGACGTAGGACTCGTCAACCCCCCCTTCAAGGTCAACAAGGCCTGGGATTGAAGGGATTGGGGACCACATCCCCTAATTTAGGTGATGATCTGATGACGGATGAGGAGATGAGGACCTGGACCTGATGATGGATGATGGTCGATGGGGTTCTGTGGGAATCATGAGAGTTTGAACCATGAGTAGTGGCGCAAGTTTGAGAAGAGATCAGATAGGATAGATCAGAGAGGCATGCAAATTGGACCATTGCATATCAGAGCATGAATGGGAGGTGGAGGCTATTTGTGGTGAGGGTGGATCCATGGACTGGATGGTCAGGTTGGTGGCCTGTGGAGAGTTGGTATGACCTTGTGTCCTATATGACAGCATGGACCAGAAGATATTGGATGCTGCCCAAAAAGAAATTAGGAATCAAAAACACAGATTTTTTTAGCCACTCTCACTCACTTGCACTCTCACTCTTACACTCACTCTCACTCTCACTGTAACTCTCACTCTCACTCACTCGCTCACTCACTCACTCCCTCCCTCACTCACTCACACTCACACTCACTCTCCCCCGCACTCACACTCCCTCACTCACTCACTCTCTCTCTCTCACTTCTCACTCTCACTCTCACTCACTCACACTCTTTCTCTTCTCACTCACTCTCACTCACACTCACTCTCACTCACACACACTCACACTCACTCTCACTCACTCACACTCTCACTCTCAATCACTCACATTCACACACTCACAGCCACACGCACACACCACCACCGCCGCCATGACGATCTGCGCCTTCATCACCGCCATCACCGCTCTGCGCCCCAATGCGTCTAGATCTTTAGACTTTTCGCTGCTACACATCTAGAGCTCCGGGGCAAAAATTTGACGTAGTGGTTGGAAGTTGGACTTGAGCGATTCATACCTTCGAATCATGCCCCTGAATCATACCCCTCAAAAAGTGGGTGTAAGAATTAGGTGTTAAGGTGAAGCTTTTGGTTGGTCTTTGTGCGTTGTAGATGCCTGTGAGCCAATGGTGCATGACGTTTGCAATTGTGCGACCCACCGGCGCCCAATTTGGCCAAAAGAGCAAATGCTCATATCCCAGAGGCTCATCTAGCCTGAACCGGGTGTCCTCCAAATAGCAAGTGGGTGTCCAAATTTCTACCCGTCCGGTAAACTCCAAAGCACAAGCTGGCAGTTTTTCCACGGACTCCCGGCATTTGCTGCAATTTGCAAACAATCAGCACTTGCACGCATCACGTGGCATCCCATTCAAAACACTTGCACTTGTCCTAAAGCCTCTCCAGAAGCTTAAAGCTTCAAGAAGCACACGCGACAAACTCAAACAGGTTGTGGCTGCCAGTAAACTGGCACACCGGCTGCCAGCTAGCTGGCAGTCAAATAGCCTACCAAGGTTAAGCGCACCCAGCTCAAAACCCCGGCCCTTCTGCTTTGCTCTTTGTTGGAAACTGAGGTGCCCTTACTGAACCAACACAACTTAACAGTAAAACCGTGACAAGTCCTTTACGCCAAACAGGTTTTGCAATACTTAAATACTCCAAGTGCAAAGCGGTGGAACCCTAGGTATACCAAGTGTTCGAGGTTTTCCTAGCCAAAAAGATTTGGCTGGCTAAATTTTGACGGGTTTTCCTGGCCAAATGGATTTGGCTGGTCAAGTTGCGACGGGTTTTTCACGGCCAAATGGATTTGGCTGGTCAAATTGCGACGGTTTTTTAAAAGAACCCATCACATTTTTGGTGGCTGGCTGAGTGGTTTTAGCCAGAAAACCAATCACGATCTGGAAGCTTGACTGGCCCCAGAAAAGCGATGGGGCTTTCAAAAAACCCGTCACAATGCCATAGGTTTTGGAAAAACCCATCACGATTTGAAGTTCGGAGTGAGCTGGAAAGTCTGACGGGTTTCCATTTTCCTTACTTAATTACGACGGGTTTTTCAAAAAACCCATCATATTTTAGTGTTGGGGACCGCGTCTGAAACGTGACGGGCTTTCCTGGCCAAGTCAATTTGGCTGGTAAAATTGCGACGGGTTTTCCGTTCATTCATTCCTGCAAGGCCCCATTGATCGAGCTTGGCCGGGCACAAGGCACTGAAGCTTTTGGGCGCACATTGCACCTACAAGCTTCAGGCGCTTGCATCCGACTGCTCCAAGCATAATCTTCCAATCCAAGATCGTTGAGCCTCCGCTCCTGAGCACTAATACAAGGTAAATGTCAAGCCGAGAAAGTTTCACGCGTCCAAGCTGGGCATATTGAGCAATCAATATATAAGCGCAGTGGTTGGTGCTTCCAGCTGGCTCAGGCAACCCTCGGGGCCGCACAGACCTACATCAACACATGACTCCGCAGAGGGTCGAGATCTGGCAAATGGTATGAAGTACGAGTTGGACCTGTTGAAGTTGCAACGTCCTGGTCAAAGTCAAGCCTTTCTTTTTGCAGCTCCGACAGGTCCACGTTCTCCATCCAAGTGCTTTAAAAATCTTGACGCGAAAGCTCTATCAAAATCGCACAACTGTTGAAATAGTGGTGCTTGGCTGTGGCGCCAGAAGCGGTGGATGATGTTCGTGGTTGTGAGGAAGGAGATGGTCTCTGCGGACTCTTCACACGTAACGTCTCCATCATCATCATATCTCCACGCTGGCGTGGCTGCCCACTACGGAGGAATCTAAATTCTTGAAGTTCCATGACTGTATATATAGGTCAGTCTTGCGTGTATCAAGCGCATGTGGATGTTGCCTCATTCTTAGAGCTCTCTGCTCCCAAGCAGGACCAAATAAACTACATGGCTGTGTTACACGCTTTTAACGGAGCCAGCAAGAAACTTGACAACAAGGTACTATTCCAAATCAAACACCCACTTGCTATTTGGAAGACACCCGGCTCAAGCTAGATGAGCGTCCAGGTATAGCAATGTTTCCATTTGCTCTCTCTCCCTTGGGAAGAAGAGCCAAAGGACACTTTTCTTCCTGCGGAGTGGTGGTGGGTGTCCATGCTGCATCGTTTTTGTGTGATTGCTCTTGGTTCTATGAGTGCCCCTCCGTTTTTTTTGTTGCACGCATGTGTTTGTGTTGTTTTCGTTTTGTACTGTTTGTTGTTTCCCTGTTTGTATTGATTTTTACTTAATATATTTTTATAATGATTGACTGTTTATTGTTTTACTTCTTAGCCGGCTGGTTCACGAAGCAGTCCACAGGACGACCACGAAATCGAAGCGGTCCGGATGGCTGAGGACAAAGAAACCCCGAAATGTTCATCATGCGAAGGGTGCGTGGAACCAAGCAACCAGTCAGCCAACGAGTTTTAACCATCTACAGGAAAGACATGTGTTGGGGAATGTCATGCTAGGTATTCGTGATTGAAACTAACAGCGTGCGTTGAACTTGACCAAATGAGCCAGCTGCCATACCACTCCAAGTTTCCACGAACCCAGGAGATGAAAGTGGAGTCGGAGAAACTGGAAGACGAGTTCTGGCACGATCTCGAAAAGCTCGGGCGCTTACCGAGGGCTGCGAGCTGGGCTTGCCTCAAGGATTGACCTTTGTGCGATTTTGCCACAGGCAGCTGCACGCGCTTTGCAGAACGCCTCGTGTTAGCAACAGCATTTTCGTTTGCGCCGCCGGTGTGCGCAGCGCAAAGCCAGTTGCGCGCGCAGGAAGGCCACAGGCAGCTGCGCATGCCGCATGCCTAGCAGGACGTTTCTGCGCAGGATTGCAATGTTTGTGTGGCTTGTGCTCGGTTGCAGAGCCTCCTTTGCACACAAATGAAATGTTGGATGCGTCGCCGATGCCACAACCAATTGCATGTACTTAGCAGGGTGTTTCTGCAACTGCAACAGTTTGTTCGCTCGTAGCGTGGCAATTTGTTGTTGCGGTTTGTGTTGTGCCTCCTGCCTCCATTGCGGAGTCTTCATTCTACACATCATAAAACTATATTTTTTTGCGCAGCAATGCCACAAGCGGTTGCGCGCACCTAGTTTTTGCACTTGTATAGTGTGGCTGATGTCGCTGTTACGAGGCAGTCTTTGTTTGTTTGCCTCTCCCCGAATACACGCAAGGATGGAATTCCGATGTTCAAGCCTTGTAGACTCGTAGACAAAGTGCGCCACTTGCAGCCCAGACAGCACAGCGCCCAAGGTCCCCGACAGGGTTCCACGAAATTCCGGTCAGAAATCACGACAGCAAGTGCGAAGTGGGCCAGGGGCCCTCAAATTAGGATGTCTGGGAAAAGAGATCAATATTAATAATAATGTTGCATCTCGATTTAGAAACCGCTTCAGGTTTGAGGCGTCTTTGGATCGTGTGAAAGGGTCGGGCTCTTAGATTTAAATTGTTGTCGCTTGCTTCATTTGTAGAACCGCAAGGGCCTGAAGCGAATGTTTGCAAAGAACCAGCTCCTCATTGGATCTCAGGATCAAGACGTTTGTTTTGCTGATGAACTGAAGATGAGGCATAGTGGATAGATAAGATGACGCGTCTTGAATGTGGCTAAGTGGTTGAAAGACACCGCGGCAAAGAAAGCAAGGGCCCATCTGAAAACCACAACTGTCATAGAGCGATTGGGCGCCACTAAACTTGGTGAGTTTTGTTCTTCTATCTATGCTTTATCCGGTTGACTCAGCGTGGAGGGCAAACGGTGATGTGGTTTACAGTAATGGGTAGGAAGCTGGCCCATGCGCAGCAACAAAATGTAACCCACATGTTGAACCAAATTTCAGCTGGGCATCTTGTTCGGTTTTACTAAACTTGCAAAATCTAAGGGTATATGATGGTTATGGAGTATGAGGATGATACGCAGCACTCAGATGTGCCGCCTTATTCCTTAAGCCAAATCAGATCAACCGTTTAGGCTGGTCAATAGAACCTGTGTTTGGTTAGTTCATCGCCTCAATTGAAAATGGTGTTGCTCGAAAAATGACAAATAGAGCGCTCGTTGATTCACATTCCCCCTGACCGCATCGCAGTGACCATGCGAAGCATCCGAGAGAATGGGAGCAACCTATTCCCCAGACGTTCCCACATATTCATCCTGAAGAGGAGGCTTCCACATCTCGAGCTGACGCCTGCCTATACTAACTTGCTAAAGGGAGCCTGTATACGTCCGCAACACTGCCGCCAGGACAGTTTGTGGTTCTTTGTGAGCGAGGCCAGCTGCCAGCAACGCAACTCTTCATGTTGCTTGCTGAGATGGTCTTCATTCACAAGGAGAACGGCGTTCGGGCATTCTTCGACTTGCTCTTCTCCCACAGGGGACACGAATTTCTTCCGCCCAAATCCTCTTGCGGTGCCAATGCTCTCACAATTCTTGGTGCTGTTGCTCACCTTGCCGCCATTACTTACCTTGCAGCTGGCAGGACGGCATCTCTTCAGGCTCTTCACCATCAACCCTCCTCTTCTCGTTATCAATGATGTGGCGCAAACAAAAGTGAAATTCCTCCCCCAGGCCGTACAGCTGTAAGGCCTGGCCTTGACTTTTCGAAAAGCAACGACACCACACAGCAAGAGGATTGGAATCCATGGGCTGTTTCCCCTTAGGCCTAGTCGATCGGGCCCCAAGTCAAACCGCTGAAGCTCCACCAGTTCCTTGTCAGCTTCTTCTTAAGAAACTAGAGCCGCCCGGATATAAAGCAGATGGAAAGCGGTCCTGATTTGCGCCAGCGTTTTAACTTCGCCAGCACAGCAAGGAGCCAAATCTGAGTATGGGCTTTGTTGGAATCCTGACCGATGGGCGCAACGTTCAGGTGCGTGCCGCACTACACATTGGCCAGAAGGAGTGACCCATGTTCGTGAAGCAAAAGGCGATGCTGCTCCAACTTAGCCATGGCCCTTTTGGATCGTCTCCTCCAGTTATTTGAGTTATTTGGCGCTGTTGACACCATGGCTGGATTACTTGGACATGCCTGGGAGCCATTCTTGGACATATTCTGCAGTACCGTCGGTTGTTGAGAAGAGCCTAGCCCTCAGCCCGTGTAAGACGAGCGACAAACGACTTCTCTCTGTCAGCAGCGGAAAAATCTGCGCTCCAATCATCCGACATCTCGCGGACTAGCGCCTCAAGAAGCTACTAGGAACAAGTGCATCGCTACTAGGAACAAGTGCCTTACTAGTAACAAGGCAGCGCCTCAAGAAGCGAACTACCACAGTCGCAACCATGGCCTTGCCACGCCGTTCCAGGCAACCCGTCTCGAACCCGCACAAATCAACTGATCGCAAAGTGGGAAGCCGTGTTGCCCAGCCGCCTTTGAGGAAGAACCCCACGCAAATCTGGAAGGCCGGCGCAAATGATCCTTCCAAGCATTTCGATCCAGCTTATCCACTCTTGGGGAATCCTCCAAATCTGGGGCCCAAGCTGCCCAAGTCCTTGACGTTTCCATTCTGCACTTCATCATCCTCCACCAAGCTCGTTCGTTCTCCTCGAAGACCATGAAGCTCCATGGCATCTCGAAGTCTCCTTGGTCTTAAGGGTCCCCAAGCGAACGGGTCTACAGGGTGGACCTCCAATGATAGCGAGGGTTTGACACATCGAAGCCAGCCTCCACAGGAAACCTCACACGTTTGCATTGCGCACACTTCTAGCTCAATGGTTCACCGTTAACTTCCCGCCTCCTCATCCTGCCCCTTCAGATTCGCAAGCACCCCGGACAGCATCTCCCGAAAACGTTCCCTCCAGCCCCCTTCTTCGCCTTTGTTTTTCTGATCGAGAGGCTCGCCAACTCGCACCATGACCGGGACTCCACCAGCCACGGATGTCATTTTATATACTTTTTCCACCACAACAAGTGATGGGGTATTATATACCTTATCCAGAAGCAGCAACAAGATAATGTGATCACGATTGTGGTCCGTGGTCCAGCATTGTGACCCATCCTTGCTTTTGCTTGCAAAAATGGTGCCCAGCATCGGCTGACAAAAGTTGATCCACCGATCTTTCCAAGAGCCTCTTCCTCCGCCCTTTGAGCCCACCAGATGTTATAGATGGTATACGTATAGGCTTATAGGGCAGCCACAGGCACTGATTGCACTGCACTCTCGCCCTGATCTCCTCCTCGATCAACGCGTCAAGCTGGTCATCTGCCTGCCCCAACTCCAGCGGTTGAGCTGCCTTTGCTCGCGGAGTTTCTTGCCTCTGGCTTGTAATCTGAGGTTATGAAGGTTCACACAGCATTCAGATGCGTCGCATTATATATTTCTTGAACTAAATCAGATCGCCTGACGATCCCTGCGTTTCCTTATCCCTGAGTTTAAGTCATTTCATACCGACACAAACACACAAGCCCGACTTAGCATATTGTCAATTCACAAATCAGGTTGTAGGAGCAATCCCACAGAACGTCCATTTCGCTGACCCTCTCGTTTTTCAAAGCATGTCGCGAACCTACTCATTTCCAAGGCAGGCCCTCAGCAAAGTCGCAGCTGTGGCAGACGTTGCGAAAGGTGCCATGAAGGAGAATCCAAATGACAATGTGTTCGCAACCGTGTTGTGTTGTTTTGGGTTGCCTAGCTTGCTGAAGTTGTTTTGCAAGTTTAGGCGGGTATGGTGAGGCATCCTTGTGCATAACGTGCATTCTTGGCATGAACAGGATCGGACATTCTCTTGGTCATTTTGAACTCTCCACTTACCCTTGGCGCCTTGGGGTGCTTTATTGCCTCACTGGCCAGGACGCAGCAACGCTGGCAGTGGAAGAGTCCAAAAAACTAGCAAAGCGTGAGGGGCTCAGAGTTTCAGAGTGCAATGTTTCTTGAGTATTATCCATGTAGGCTCAGTTAGCGCCAGGGTCACAATGCAGTATAGAAGCAGGTTGTGTTCTGGTTCGCAGTTTGTCAAGACAGAGGTTGAAGAAGTGTCCGTCTTACGTCCAGTGCTGTTATCTCGCTGTGACATTGGAACCTGAGTGGCTGGGTGAACGATACAGTACCTAACATACTTGGACTGACAGAGCCAGAAAAGAAAGAACATCGACCTGTATAGATACCGTGTGTCGCTTTCGAGGTGTAGTGGACGTGCCCCCTGGACCGAGGCACACAAGAATGGTGGCATGCCCGGCCTGTTGGCTATCAAGCGGAGCCACACGGAGCCACCAGATACAGACAAGCCGAAGATAGATTGCACCAGGATTATGTTTGAACTGTCATGACATGAAAGGAAAATGCCTTGTCATGGATAGCCTGGATAGCACTTGCTTTTAGCGAGGAGGTTTCAGTTTCATGCCATCCAGCGCTCAGAACAGTTCAGGAATAAACTTCGAGGGAAACATATGCCGGGATCTTGGCCATCAGGGGGGATCCTTTCCGGAATCCCGGAAGCATGATTGCTTTTCTCCTTAACATAGTACGTATGCGAGAGATCAACGAGATTTGCAAACCGTGGCATCAAATTTCTATTGAAGTGGGATGCGGGGTATTACTCCACCTTTCTATTTCCTAGAGCGCGAGCATTGTGGCAGCGTAAAGTGAGTTCCGCTTACAAACTAGTGATAACTAGTGCTTGCCGTAGTGACATTCAGTGGAAAAGAAGTATCATTTTCAGCATGAGACCGTTGGATGAGACCGTTTTCACAGGAGTTTGTTTGCACTACCGGCCCTCTTAGGTCCTCTTAGCGACCCAATGGCACGATTGCAATTCATGGTTTGTTTGGAACACACCAGTTTCGGTTTTGCGTGTCCATCAGGTTGTTGACAGTGTCGGGTGGGCTGAGGAGTGGGGTGGGGGTTAATTGACCTTCGTTTCCCGCGCGACGCAAGTGCCTTGCTTTTCGAAATCATGTGCTGCGTATTGCGCGGGGTCGAAGAAGTGGCAAGAGAATTAATGAGCTGGCAGGAGAAGTCATTTGTCCTTAAGATGACTCGGGCCCCTCGAAGGTGTCTCTAGAACAGATTTTCGTTGATGACATTGGTCCGGGTTTCTTATTCCCTTTTGGAAGGGAATGAATCGACTAAAAGACAACGCTCCCTTTCCTGGTCTCTTTCTGCCTTTGGTCTTTCCTGATCTTCTTCTGATATCATTTGTCTATATAAATCAGCATGCAGCGGTCCATCTAGGCCATGCAAGCGGGTGAACCGCCAGAACCAACCAATGATAAAACGGCTATACAGAGACTGCCGACTACCAAAGGAATGATGCTGCAGGCTGCTAAGCAAAAGTGCATTTGATGGATATCAGAACCAAAGCATGTCCTGCCGTTTGAAGCATCCTGGTAAACATTAACATTTCACAGTAATGATATGTAGTGATTGATTAAACTCTTGAACCATCCATCCCATCAACATATCAATCAGTTGATGCCAGGTCTCTCACATTCTCGTGCGCATGATCCACTGTTTTTGTTTTAACATGTATATAATGTATATGTAAATATTACGTAAAATAGTATGTAGAAGTTCGTATTATAAATATATATATACACACGTACATTATATACATGCATGTACGTACTATATACATGTGCATATGCATGTAATGTAATGTCATGTAATGCAATGGTATGTTATGGTATGTAATGTAATGTAATGTAATGTATGTATGTATACATGTATCAATGTAGTGTAATGTATGTAATATATGTAATCTATGTAATGTATGTTATGTTATGTTATGTTATGTTATGTAAGTGTGTATGTTTTTTTTGCCTGTTTGCCTGGTTGCCTGTTTGTTTGTTTGTTTGTTTGTTTGTGTTTGTATGTAATGCAATGTAATGTACTGTTGTGTTATGTTATATTACCTTATGTTATGGCATGGTATGTTATGGTATGGTAGGTAGGTAGGTAGGTAGGTGTGTAGTGTAATGTAGTGTAGTGTAGTGTAGTGTAATGTAATGTAATGTAATATAATATAATATATATAATACAATGTAATGTATGCATGTAATGTAGTGAATGTAATGTAGTGTAGTGTAATGTAGTGTAATGTAATGTAATGCAATGCAATGTAATGTATGCATGTAATGTAATGTAGTGTAATGTAATGTAACGTAACGTAAGGTGATGTAATGTAATTAATGCATATATGTATGTTTTTTTGCACGTTCTTTTCCGGTGCAACAGGGTGCTCAAGTGAACCATGGTCTCAGATCAGGTGTTTGAGACTCACAAGCGTTCTTCAACTTGGACGTAACGACCACCGTCTCCTCCTGGATGCGTCCTTTCGCTCCACATTTGGAGCATTCGGCCAGGTGTCCTTTCCTCACCATAGTGTGTGAGGAGTGGCCTCTCCACATCCCCGGCGGCAAAGGGCCATACCAGCAGGTCTCTCCCACAAACCTCTCAAAGGCTTGCTCGTTCGTCCTTGCCAGGATGTAGGCCCGACATTGGGTGCAGCGCAGATACGCTTTCTCGAGCTTCAAAAAGTGGATGCCAGTTTGCGGCTTGGACTGCGCTTGGATCAGCTCATGGATGACTGTCATCCTCAGCGTCTTGATTGTCTTCTCCGGGAGCTGAACCGTGCATGCTTCTTGGGTGGCCTGCTTGAGCTCCTGCAACATGCTCTTCAGGTGCACCTTGGTGCGGCATAGACCACATTGAGCTCCACTTCTGTGAGCCTCCCATCGATGTCCTTGATGTTCAGGATTTTGGAGAAGGAGGTGGTCAAGGGCGTGCGCCTTGGCTGTGGACTCTCAGTCTTCTTCTTCGGGAAGTGAGTGGGGTCCCGAAGCAAAAGATCCATCCTTTCAGCCGCATGCAGCAGCACGTCGCCTACGTCCTCATCAATCGCCTTCTGGTAGGTGAGGAAGTCATGGGGCACTTCCGCCTGTGCCCGTGCTTTGGCAATGTCATGGATGGCTTTCTGTAGCCTCCTCCTAGTGACCCTTCCTTCTTCTTGTTAAAAGTGCTTCATGAACGGCAGAGGTCTCAACTGCTCGGAATCTTCAAACTCCAGCCCTTGGTGGAGATCTGGAAAAGCTTCCATGACAACATGAGGCGTCCAGGCTTTCCACACTTGCAAGTTCCCGATTGCCACGTGGGTCCTGTCAAGGATGCGCAGAGCCAAATGCTTGAGGGCGTAGAAGATGGCTCTGGGTTTGGTGGCCTCTCCAGGACAGATGCCAGTGACGGTCGCAACAACTTCCTTGGTGCCAATCTCAAAGATCCCAATGCCAAAGACATATTGCTTGTGTCTTTTGTCGACGCAAGTGGGAACCACATCCAGACAGCAAGCATGGCCATGGTCAACCCTGCACGGCTGCAAAGTGCTCCACAGTCCAGTTCCTTGAAAGGTGGCCTGCCCCCCATGACGCTCACGAAAGGGAAGTTGGACAAGACCCCGGCGCCACAGTTCAGGATCAGTGTTCTGCTGTATGCGGTCTTTCCTGAGCTCACATCCACACAAGGGGCAAGTGCCTTCAATGCCATGCAGCGTTCTTTGATGGAAAGCTCTGATGGCAGTGGCCAATTTGTCGCTTGTCTCCTTTTGAAGTTTGAGGCTGATGGTCCAGTCCAAGGGTTGCTCAAGGTGTTGACATCCTTGGTACCTGGTGAGTTGGATGAGTCTTTGCCATCGGAATTCTTCCTGAAGCTTCATGTTGAGCGCGGGCCAAGTGTCGTCCAAGGAGATATGACAATCAGGGATGGCTCCATTGCCAATCCGGACCCACTTGCGAGGATCTTGAAGATCAAAGCCATAGTCGAGAAAATAGGCCTGCAAAGCCTGGAGTGGTCCTGTCACTACCTGCCGTCGGTACTTGGCTTGTGTGAGGGCTCCGAAAGCCGCACTCCAACTGGTCACTGGTCCAGAAGAGGCGTTGTTTGCTCTCCTTAAAGCTGTGCAAGATCTTCTGCGCATGCTGCTGGACAATGGAGTCACCAGGGTCAGGGTGCTTGCGGTTGCAGTCGAAGACAATGTCAACGATCCAGTCCTTTGTAGCTTCAACCCCCTGGCCGCCATGACCCGCAGCTGCTGACGGCGTTGAGGTGCCAGACCATTGCATACTGCTGCAAATCTTGGAGCGTGTTCTTATAAGATCGTGATAGACAGCAGCTTCAGGATTGTGGTAGAGGACATTGATTCGAATGGCCATGCGTTCCCAGAAAGCCGGTCTACCTTTCTTCCAAAGTTGGATTTTGCGAGGCCCTTGCAAAGGAGCTGTGAAAAGATCAATCTGCGATCCTCTACCCAACTCGGGCTGCAGAAGCTGTTGTGTGAGATGTTGCTCCGATTGAGTGCACCATCTCGCCAGGTCCGTGCCCAATCCAGTGATCTGGTAATTGAGGATGTACAAGGGGCCGTGTTTTTCGGGGAAGGAGGACCATGACATTGGCGGGTGGAAGGCCTTGCCAATCAGTGGGAAGGTACGGAGTTGCTGAACGGGGATGGCTGCTTGAATGCTGTTGAACATCAGAGCCAAGGCACAATGCGGTCTCCAATTAAGGACCATCCCACAGTGCCTCCAGGTCACAAACTCTATGGAGCTCGCTGGATATGAGGAAGTAGTGCAGCTGGCTTCCTTGCAAGGTGGTGGGCCCATCAGTAGCTTTGATGTGAGCCTTGAACGTGCTTTGGACCACCATGGCAGCCAGGTCAGAGGGAGGGTTTTGTCAATCCCCTCCTATGATGAAAGGTGCCTCAAAATCTCGGCGTTGAGGAGGGATTGAAGGGTTCCCCAGTTGATCCAAGAAAGGAATTCACCTCATTCTGCGCAGTGGTTTTTACCTTTGATACAGGAGTGGTTCCCACTCTGGAAGTCTCCGTCTATCAATTTTGAAACCGTCAGGATTCGATATTGGTAGCGGGGCGCGGGACGATCACCACAGGGCCAAGTTCGTCAAGCACTCCATTCTGTTGAACAGAAAGTGCAGGGCCCACTGGCAATCAACTGTCGTCATTAGTCCCGAGTTTTTGACAATGTTGAGCAGCAGTCGCAAAAAATCGAGCTTCTCTGTCTTGCGCGGCCAGAGGCCAAGCTGAGTCAGCCTCTGCCAAGTTACAACTCCGACAAAGGAGATTCTTGTGGGAACCCGTGAAGGGATGGGATCGAGTTTCGATCGTTGGAAGACAATTTGGAAAGGTGAGTATTGAGGAAAAGGTTGAGGTCGTGGAGAAAGCATTGAAAGTTCAGACTCGTTTTTGGCACGAGCTGAAGTGGTGTGGACAGATCTGCTACTGAAAAAAGTAGATCTAGGTCCAGGCCTACACCACACTCGTTGAATCAGGGGCCGAACAGGGTGGCTCAAAGCTGGAGATGAACAAAGTGGCTGCAGCCATCAGGATGCATTCTTTCAAGAGTAATACTGCAGGCAAACGTGACAAGGGTCTCAAGACCTATG